GAATAAAATCATAATGACCTCTCATCTTTTATGTTATCCTCAGATTATGTAGCAGCTGAAAGTTCTTATAGTCAAGCCCTTCAGATGTGCCCATCCTGCTTCCAGAAAGATAGGTCTATTCTGTTTTCAAACAGAGCTGCTGCAAGGATGAAACAGGTATGTTTCTTTTAGGTTTTCTTTTTAAGAAGCACATGAACCTGCAGTGTTTTCATAGGATAGCTTCTCTCCAAAAACTAGCATAGGGATTTAAGGTTGCTGTCTCCCTTTTCCTGCCCATCTATTTATCCCCTGATATAAGAGGCATAGGGAAGATTGAAAAAATGTTCTGAAAAACTTGAGACAGATTACTGTTAACATTTGTCATTTAAGTGGCTGAGCTTTCATGGCTGGAAGACTGGCAAAGTCACCACCAAATAAGGGCAGGTTAATGAAGCAAAGAGCCAAGTCATGCATGTCCTAGAATTCCTTCAGCTGCTTAATTTAGGCCTCTGGAATTCTAGATAAAGACTCAATGGCACAGGGAAACACTGATTAAAAGTCTAGACTTCAAGATGCTTATTCCTAAGATTCTGGTTTTTCTATTGAAAGTATGGACATGGGAAAAAATATCCAACAGTTGGGACAAGAGGTGCCCTTAAATGCAAACAGATGCCGGGGAAAGTTTGTATTTCCAAAGGATTGAGAACCTGGTATAGCAGGGTGAATGTAGAGAAGACAAGAGTGCAATTATGTTTGTTTTGTCCCATTTTTTGAAAGTTAGTGTTGATTTGTCTGATACTTAGTCAACATAAATTTTGCTGGATTGAAATGATAAGCGTTTGGGAAAAAATAATACCACTTCTTTAGCTGTGGCTACTTAGATCCAAAGCACAAAGGGTAGGTTAGGTAACAATGTTTAAGCAACCAGGTGGCAGGTTTAAGATTGGGTTAAGTGAGTTTTTTGTTTGTTTAGATCCAAGTACCTCCATCGCTTTCTCTTTGACATTGCCTGAAATTCTCTAGTGCCTCTACTAACGTCGCTTTGAATAACAGATTTCTTTTTTTTTCTCCAGAGGGGTTGAGGGGGTGCTTGAATGCTTGGACATGCAGAAAGGTTTATTCACTTAACCCAAAATTGTGTGTTCCTACTGGAATCAGTCTCCAAGGTGAAGTGTTTTTAGACTGATTCATATGGTATGGGAGAATAAATAATTCTATAGAGTATACAAACAGACATTTTATATTAGGGAAAATAAAACAATTGTTTTAAGTTTATTTAAAACAATATTCATTAACATGTTTTACCTTCCATTGGAACTTACACCTGACAGTTTTTACATTTAGCTGGAAAATACTGATCTTTTGCTTTTGCTTCTCAGACACATCTTGCCACATTCTTAAAGTGGAAATTGTCAATTTGAAGTGGAATCAAGGATACCTTCAGTGTCAGAGAAAATGCAGCATACCCATGGCTCCTTGGATGTGGAATTCTTTGTTTCTACAATTGCCATGTTACTGATATTAATATCTCTAGGCTATCATAATTGAAAGTTCTTAAGATAGGAAAATGTCTTGCTAGTCTTTTTTCTGTCACATCTGAGGAGAACTCAAAAAGGAATTGTTCTGTGGATGTTCCCTGTACAAAGGGCAGGTTTGTTAGGTTTTTGTTCTTTTAAGTTACACTTAATATTTTAAGATTCTAAATGAAAAACTCAAAAACTTACAAGATTTATGCACTGAAGTGATTTAAGGAACACAGTCTTAGTTTTATCAAGGAAATGATGGGTTAACTACTTAAAGAAGTTCTGAAAGGCAAGACGTTTTTCAGGCTCAGCCTCCAAGTGCCCCTGGCCAGGCTTTATATATCCTATCTGGAGGGAGAAAAAGCAAGCTGGAGTTAGAGCAGGGTTTCAACTCTAGGTCTAGCTACAAAAGAACAGAAAAAGCCCTAAAAGAATAGGCTGTACATTTGTTAAAACTACTGTCCTTACATATTATGTACATTGGTTTATACATATCTTCAGAGGCCAATTGTTGATAAGATGCACTGCAGTGTAGTAATAGTTCCTTAGGGCTACAATGAATACCACCACAACTGTTGTATACAAAAGTTGTAAAGATTTACCCCTATTTCAGAAACTTTAAAATAGGAAATTCTGTGTCTTAGATTCATAGAAATCTAATAAGTTGGGGAAATACTTATATGAAGTTACACAGGAGGAAGGTCCAAGATGGCATAGAAGGAGCCTGAACTCACCTCCTCCCATGTACACACACCAAGTGTATACTTCCATATAGAGCAGTTCCTCCTGAAGAAGAACTGATACCTGAGTGAACAGCTTATGCAAAAGAAAGGGTAGACCACATAGAGAAGGGTAGGAGAGTCAGAGACACAGTAATGACAGGAACACCAAATGCCAGGAACTGCTGCAGTAGGAAGGGATATCACTGAGGGACCCACGTGGAGATTTGCCCACCCTGAGGCACAGAAAAAAAACTACATTTTAAAGGGCAACTAGAAAATATATTTAGGGAGCCCATTTACTAATATTAAAGTACCCGTCAAACAGTGGGGAACTACTGGAACTTTGTCCAGATCGGAGGCACTGGTGAGTGCCATTGATTACATTCTCCCTCCACCTTAATAGCACAAACAGGAGCAGAGTCTGGGCTTACTAGCCTGACCGCCACCTTAGCAAGCCCTGATCCCTAGCCCACACCAGTTCTACATGTCCTCCTAAGGCAGACCCACAGCCTGCTCCTGAGCATGTTCACCTTGGAGATCCAGCAGTCCCACCAATGCAGCACCAGTATGGTGCACACCAGAACACTTCCCACCCACACCCACTTCACCTCCAGCCATCCCACCAGCATGCCCCCTACACCAAGTGCCCTAGGACCTAGCTAGCACATGCCCACTTCAGCTCCAGCAGACCCACCAGAGTGCCTCCTGCCCAGAACATCCCAGGACCCTCTAGTACATGTCTGCTTCAGCTCCAGCCATCCCACAAGGTCAGCACTGGTGCACAGTGCCCAGGGACTCCAAACCCATGCCTGCTACAGCTCTAGCCAGCCCACCATAGTTGGTGGGCACATGCAGTCTACCTAAGGGACATTCTTACAAAGGCCACTCCTTCAAAACTGGAAGATGTAGCTGTTTCTCCTAATTCTTAGAAACAAACATAGAAAGTGAAAATGAGAAAGAGAAATATGCTTCAAAAGAGCAAATAAGACAAAACTTCAGAAAAATAACTAAATGAAACAAAGTTAAGTAATTTACCTGATAAAGATTTCAAAGTAATGGTTATAAAGATACTCACCAGACTTGAGAGAAAAGTGGATGAACTCAGAACTTCAAAGAGAAAGAAATGTAAAAACCATCAAAGTTGAAGAATAAATGAAATGAAAAGTACTCTCGAGGGAATCAACAGCAAGTCAGAGGATGCAGAACAGATCAACAATCTGGTAGATAGGGTCATGGAAAGCACTCAAGCTGAACAGCAAATAGAAAAACAAAAGGATACAGTACAAGACCTCTGAAATGACATCATGTGTACTAACATTCACATGATAGGAGTCCCAGAAGGTGAAGAGGGAGAAAAAAGGGTGGAAAACCTACTTGAAGAAATAACAGCTAAAAACTTCTGTAATCTGGGGAGAGAAAGACATACAGGTCCAAGAATCACAGGGAGCCCCAAAGAAGATGAACCCAAGGAGGTCCACACGAGGAGACATAATAATTAAAATGTCAAAGATGAAAAGGTAAAGAAAGAATATTTAAAGCAGCAAGAAAAAAGCAAGTAATTATGCACAAGGGAAACCCATAAGGCTATCAGCTGAATTTTTCAGCAGAAACTTCACAGGCTAGAAGGTAGAAGGGAGTGGCAGGAAATAGTCAAAGTGCTTAAAGGAAAAAAACCTACAATTAAGAATTCTCTACCCAGCAAGGTAGTCATTCAGAGTTCAAGGAGAAATCAGGAGTTTTCCAGACAAAAGAATAGTTAAAGGAGTTCACCATCTCTAAACTGACCTTTCATGAAATGTTACAGGACTTCTTTAAGTGGAAAAGAAATGACCGTAACTAGAAGTAAGAAAATTATAAAAGGAAAAAATTTCATTAGTAAAAACAAACATATAGTAGATCAGCCACTTAAAAAGCTAGTATGAAGCTTAAAAGACAAAAATAGTAAAGTCAATTATATATAAAAATTTAGTTAAGGGGATCACAAAGTAAAACATCATGGAGAAGAGGGAGTAAGACTGTGGCACTATTAGAAATATGAACTTAATGGTAAATACAAACCAAAACCTATACTAGATATACAAAAAATAAAAAGAACAAAATCCAAGCATAAACAAAGTCTTCAGTCACAAGGGAAGAGAACAAGAGAAGAAGTAAAGGACAGAGAAAAGCAACAAAAACAGCCAGAAAACATTTGACAAAAATGGCAATAAGTACATACCTATTAGTAGGTACTCTAAATGTAAATGGTCTAAATGCTCCAATCAAAAACATGGGGACTTCATGGATAAAAAAACAAGACCCATCTATATGCTGCCTACAATATACTTACTTTAGACCTAAAGACACATACAGCCTGAAAGTGAAGGGATGGAAAAAGATACTCTGTGCAAATGGAAATGGGGGGGAAAAAAAAGCTGGGGTAGCAATACTTACATCAGACAAAATAGACTTTAAGACTGTAATAAAAGAGAAAGAAGGGCATTACATAATAATGGATCAATCCAGCAAGAGGACAGAACAGTTGTAAATATCCATGTACCCAACATAGCACCTAAATATATGAAGAAATATTAACAGAAATTGGCAGTAATAGTAGGGGACTTAAACACCCCACTTACATCAATGGACAGATCAGACAGAAAATCAATAAGGAAACAGTGGTTTCAATTACACATTAAACCAGGTGGACTTCACAGATATATACAGAACTTTCTGTCAAAAAACAGCAAAATACGCATTCTTTTCAAGTGCATATGGACATTCTCCAGGATAGAATTCTCCATGTTAGGCCAGAAAACAAGTCTCAGTAAATTTAAGAAGATTGAAATAATATCAAGCATTTTTTCTGACCACAAAGGTATGAAACTAAATATCAAATTACTAAAGAAAAAAAACTGGAAAAAACACAAAAACATGCTACTGAACATCCAGTGGGTCAACAAAGAAATCAAAGAGGAAATAAAAAAAAAAGTACCAGAATACTGAAGAAAATAAAAATATCACTTGTCAAAATCTTTGGGACACAGCAAAAGCAGTTATAAGGGGGAAGTTTATAGCAATACAGGCCTGCTTAAAGAAACAAATCTAAACTGTAATGAGATACCATCTCACACTGGTCAGTATGACTAGTATCAAAAAGACAGTAAATAACAAATGTTGGCCAGGCTGTGGAGAAAAGAAAACCCTTGTATTTTATACTGTTGATGGGACTGTAAACTGGTATAGCCACTGCAGAAAGTTACAGAGATTTCTCAAAACACTAAAATAAGAAATACCGTATGACCCAGTAATTCCACTTCTGGGAATTTTTCCCAAAGAAATCAAAATCACTAATTCTAAGATACATGCACACCTGTGTTTATTGCAGCATTATTTACAATAAATAGCCAAGAGCTGGAAGCATCTGAAGTGTTCATCAGTAGGTGAATAGTTAAAGAAGTGGTATGTATAAACATTGGAATATTATTCAACCATAAAAAAGAATGAAATCTTGCCATTTGCAAATCTTGCCAACATGGATGGATGTAGAGAGTATTATACTAAGTGAATGAAATAAGCCAGGCAGAGAAACACAAATGCCATTTGATTTCACTTACATGTGGAATCTAAAAAAAGCAAACAAACAGACAAACCCACAGAGAACAGACTGGTTGCCATAGGGGAGGGGGTTAGGAGAACAGGTGAATACACGTGTCAAAATGCATCAGGCTGTATGCTGAGATTTGTGCATTTTATTATATGTGCCTCAATAAAAAAAATAAGTATACAATTCATTGCCATTAAATACATTCACAATATTGTGCAACCATCACTGCTGTCTGATGCCAGAACTTTTACATGACCCTAAAAGGAAACCCTGTACCAGTGATTAAGCAGTCACTCCCCACTCTAAACTATTATTGATTGAATCCTATAACTCAGTTTGGCAGATGCTACTGTAAAATATTATGTGAAATACTTAGTTTTACAACAGTAGTCATTATGGAAGTAGTGAAAATTTATTTGAACTAACATCTATAAAATTTAGAAAAGTTATAATTTGGGGAAAATAGGCATTTGTAGCTGCAAGAGTTAAATAGCAGCTTGGTATTAAGAGCTGAAACTAGAATCTAGTTCTTTCTTTTGACACCCATTGTTCTTTCCACTGTGCCATGCTTCCAGATTAAGCATGTTAAATTGGTTAAATATCTTATTTGGTGAATTGTTTTGTATTTTTGTTTCATCAGTGGATAAATTTAGGTTTATAACTGAGACTAGTGACAAAGCTACACTGTGTGTCTGTAATGGACCATCTGTGTACTTTCTCTAAGATACCACTTTGGGTGTGATAGTATAACAGCTAGCCAGAGAAGAAGGTTATTGAGTTGCTCACCTAGCAGTAACTTGCCTTGTTTATTGATCACAACGTTTTCTCAGTGTCAGCATTCTAAAGTGTGTTGCAAATATAATAGGTCAATCACAGTAGTCTTTAAAGATACTTTAGGAAGAAGCTACTTGCATAACTTGTTGCCAAGAAGCTTTCAAGTCAAAGCTGTTGCCATATTTTGAACTGTCATGTGATTTCTTGAGCAGTCTGCATCTCCATAAGCAATTATTAATGATTAGCTTCTATCATTGAGCCTTTGGGTCATTCAGATAGAACAGAGGTGACAAATATTAATGTTATATTTCCTTTTAGGACAAGAAAGAGATGGCCATCAGTGATTGCAGCAAAGGTACAGTCTTACTATGTGATAACATACAGGAGCATTACCTCCATTATACAAACAAATACACAGGCTCTCAGACAGCTGTGCCCTTGTACATGTATCCCTTCCTCTGGGGTCTTTAAAGAAGCTTCATAAGTCAGCCTTCTGAGAGGTAGTGTATAATAGTCATCTTTCATCTTAGTGTACACATGCTTTTGAATGGATAATTCAGTCAGTTTATCCTGTATTAATAAATATGTGAAGAAGAATTCAAAGCTACTTTGGCAATAGAAACTCATGGGACATAATTTATTTCCTTTAGTTTCCAAGTTACATTCCTTTGACACTGAAATTGAAGATTTTAGCTGCTGCCAGAGCATCTGGATCTTTGTGTTTGGGGAGTGGGGGCAGTTGGTGCTGTTAGAGTATTGGTACTCTCATCAGATGTAATAATTCTTCCAAACCTACTTGCCATCATTTTAACTATCCTTTCAGGTTACACACAGTGAATCAAGCCTTTGCATCTGGTATTTGATTAAGGTGTTTTCATCCCACCAACTTGTAGACCCAGCCCCAGACATAGGGCCGCTATTGGTTTTTCAGGGTTTTTTTTTTTTTTCCAGAAATTCCCTGGTAGGCCAGACAGTTGACTTTCTAACCAACTTGGGGTGGAGAACACACAATCACTTTTCTTTACTCTTAACTACTCTCATGAGCTTTTCTAGCTAATTACTACTTTTATAATTTGTATATTTTTTCAGTTTTCCTTCTTTGGATAGTATTTTCTATGAGAGAATCATGTGCTAAAAGGAATCTTATGTTACCTAGTCCCACTCTCATACAAGCATGCATTGCCTCTTCTGTTTGTTTTTTCTGTACATTACTTAGTTGTCCTCTCTATTGGCTTTCTTTTCTTTATACTTGGTATTCCTTTATAGTATCTGAATGAAAATGTTACTATGATAAAATTAGCAAATTACTTCTGATCTATTACTATATTGGGGAGAAGCTAAGTCTGAATGTACTGTTTATTTAGAAGAAGGCATTTAACCTTAATCTATGTGTTGTATGGGTTTGAAGAGTTTAAATTAGTAAAAGGTGTATATTTTCAGAGCTCCTTTTTCTGTTACCAAATGGTGAGAAAAATGCCTTGTAAACTTGATTAGCAGGGTATACACTAGGGAAAAGAGTTCATCTCCAGCCATAGCCCTAAGCGTAGGATTCTTGCCAAGAAAATGTTTTCCAGGGAGGAAGGGAGGAAAGTGTTTTCCAGATTAGTTTTTGGATTTGGTTTAAATCGATATTCATGTGCTTGTACATAGTTATTCTGGAATACATGCCTTGTACCCATAGGCAAAATACATTGATAATAGTATAGTTTATTTGTATTAAGGTATTAAGGTCCCACCCATGTCCCCTTCCCGCACAGCAAATACACATGCCTACTCAGTTCATAAACCTTCTTGGCAAAGGATTAACAGCTTATCTCTGAGGTCATATTGGAGCTCATTACTACTAGTCATATGGAATAATATTTAATGTCACACACCCTAGGGTTTTTAGCTTTGGCATGAATAAATTTTAAGTTCATTCTCCTTATATTGATTAGGAAAGAAAATCATATTAATCATATGTTGATTTCAGGTTTTTACAGAGTAATCATGGAAAAAGTTCCTTCTTTTCAATACATACTTGCATTATCAGAATCTGTCAACTAGTTGAGGGTTTTTAACTTTGGCATGAATAAATTTTAAGTTCATTCTCCTTATATTGATTAGGAAAGAAAATCATATTAGTCATATGTTGATTTCAGAGGTTTTTACAGAGTAATCATGGAAAAAGTTCCTTCTTTTCAATACATACTTGCATTATCAGTATCTGTCAACTAGTTGAGAAGCGGGCAGTGTCTAGGTTAAAATGAAAATTAGGGGGTTCCATTTTTTTTAAAGATGTAGTAGAAGCCATTGGGAAGTATTTTTCTGTCATTATTATGATATCATAACTGGGGATATTTTAAGAGAATATGGCATGCCAGACTAAGGGGAAGTTGACAGACAGCATGTAAAGTTGAAATCTTAAGAGGTTTGGGTTCTTTCAGAAATCTCCTGAACCAGTATCCCCCTTCAACTACTCTACTATTACTGTGATCCTTTTTATTGGAAGACTTGTCTATACCTGCTACATCTACTATGTCTTCTTCAGTTTTCTACTCACCCACATCCATTAGGCTTCTCTTTTTATCCATACCACTGACCTATCTTGTAAAGGTCACCAACAACCTCATCTCGTTCAATTCAGTAATTGTTTCTCTGTCCTCACCTTACTTGACCTCCCAAAGGCATTTCATATAGTGTATCATTCTTCATTTTTTCCCCATTTCATTGTGTATTCCTTCTTCTCTTTTGCTGGCTTCTCTTCAACATCAACATTTTGGGAGTTCCTACGTAGGCCCCTCTTCTTTTTTTTCTCTATAAAGCCCCCCTATGTGATCTCATCCAGTTCTGAAAAGTTAAATACTATCTATATGCACCAGTTTATATATATCTTCTCTTCCCTGTGGTCTGGAGCCCTGAATCCCATTGCAAATTTGACGTCTTTTCTTGGAAGTCTGGTAGGCATTGCAGATTTCACGGGCCCAGAACAGACTCCGGTGCCTCCCCAGCCTCCATACACACACAACCTGCAGTTGGTATTTTTCCATTCTAATAAATGGCATTACCATACATTCATTTGCTTAAACTAAAACCTAGGAGTCAACCGTGATTATTCTTTCTTTCATTTCCACCTGACTTAATTAATTAGCAAGTCCTGTGGGCTCTAAATTCAAAGACATGTTCTTAATCTGGCCTCTTCTTTCCATCCCCACTATTAGCGGCTTAACCAACCAACATCATCTCTCTTTGGAACCGCTGCTGTTCGTCTTGCCCTCCACACCTCAGGCAATGTGATCCTTTAAAACTGAAAATCAGATTGTGTCTTTAGTCTGTTCCAAACCATTCCAGTAGCTTCTCATCACAGGAAAAAGTCAAAGCTCCTTTTCCTGTCCTGTAAGGCCTCTGCGATGTGATCCTGGCTATGCCTTCAGCCTCCTTTCTTCCTGACCTAGTCACTAACGTGCCAAGGTGGTTCTTCCTTTAAAGCCTTTATTCTGGCTAGGCTCTCTTCCTGGTGCACTCCTCCTTAGCTTTTCAAAGGGCTGGCCTCCCTCAGATACTTCCTTTTCATATTCTTTGACCTCTCTGAAGTTACCTTATTCCCCCCTTTACATGAGTTGACATTGCCTTGTTTTATTTTTCTATATTGCAACATGACTATCTGAGATGATTTACCTGTGTGCTGTGTGCTCATGCTTCTAGAATAGCATAAAGCTTCATGAGAACAGGAACCTTGTCAGTCTTTTCTGTCACTATACTCCAGAGACACACTACATTAGGTACTAAATAGTTACTGAAAGCATGAATGAATGAAAACTGAGTTTGTTATTTGAAGAAAAGAAAGTTCTAGAACCATGACATTGCTTTCTAACAGAATAAGAAACAACTCAAATGCAGTGTACTTGAACCAAAATACAGACAAAGTATTATTAGAAGAGCAGTTGTTGGACAAAAAAAGGATGTTATGCACCAGTGACCTAAAGGTCTTGGAGCCATAGTCTGAAGGAACACTAGGGTTTAGCTAAAAATGTAACCTCAGTAGTCATGGCAGAACCTCAGCCTAGAAAAGAGAATGACAGCAGAGCCTCCCACCAAACTGTTTTCCCCCAACTCTTAAATTTGTACTTTCAAATCCCCTTCCACTTTTTCACTGTGCACTGGAGCTCTGTGTTCTGACCTATTCTGAACTAGGCGAAAGACAACTAGGTGAAAACCAGGACTTTGGGTACAGACCAGGGTTTGTAAACTGCAGCCACAAGCCAAATCCAGCCTGTCACCAGCGTTTGTACGGTCCACAAGCTGAGAATGGTTTTTACATTTTTAAATGGTTGGAAATAAAACCAAAAGAAATATTTTGTGACATGGAAAACTGTGAAATTCAAATTTCAGTGTCCATAAGGAACGGTTTATTGGGACACAGCCACTGTCATTTGTTTACACATTGTCTATTGTTGCTTTCACACTACAATAGCAGAGTTGAGTAGCTGTGCCAGACACGGTCTGTCCCACAAAATCTAAAATCCTTACTGTCTTGCCCCTTACAGAAAAAGTTTGCTAACCTCAGGTATAGCCTTTGACAAATGACTCTTCATTTTAGACCCTCAGAGCATGATTAATATAGAAACTTTATATAGCTGAGAATGCATAGGACCTTTTTCTTTCTTTCTTTCTTTATTTTTATTTATTTATTTATTTATTTATTTATTAAGGTGTCATTGATATACAGTCTTATGAAGGTTTCACTAGAAAAACAATGTGGTTACTACATTCACCCTTATTATTGAGTCTCGCCCCCCTCCCCCCCCATACCCCATTGCCATCATTGTCCATCAGTGTAGTAAGATTAGGCCCTTTTTCTTTATGGTAACAATTATTTCTTCTCTTTTGACAGCAATTCAGTTAAACCCCAGCTATATCAGGGCAATATTGAGGAGAGCGGAGTTGTATGAGAAAACTGACAAGCTAGATGAAGCCCTGGAAGACTATAAATCCGTATTAGAAAAAGATCCATCAGTATATCAAGCAAGAGAAGCTTGTATGGTAAACCTAATTTTTTTTAATATATTTTTTTCTTCTATCCCCTGTGTTGCTACTCAGTGAATCTTAAATAATCCTCTTAAGCTAGACATATTTTAGTTAAGCCAAACTTATTTTTGTTATTTTGTGGCCACTTGCCAACATTTTTAAATGAAATTTTCCTAGATAAAAATCTTTTAAATCAGAGCCCTCTTGTACATTAGAAACTGTGGACATACCAGGTCCTCCTTGAACGCCTGCACATCAGCCCTCAGCTGGAGCTCCCCGGTTCCCTGCTGGCCACACCACTCCCTCTTGCCTTGCCACTAATCCCTTTACTTACTTACATTTCCTGTCTGGCCCCTGAGTGCATCTGAGGCCCTGATACACAGAATTTCCCACTTATTTCAATGGACCATTATTTCACCAAGCAGACCTGATCTCCCTACCTACATTAATAGCCTGTGTGATTTTAGTTTGAACTACCTGAAGCTAGGATGTCAATGTTTTGCTTTGTTTTTACACACTCTTGAGGTGAATTCCTCCAGTAATAACAGATGTTGTAATCATCTAGAAATGGAATAATGGAAGACAGGCTGGTTTGGATTATTAAAATATATATGCAATTTGAAACCAGATTTAATCCTTTACTGACTTAATAGTTCTCTGAATGATGGTAGGATTAGCTTTAATTTGACATGAGGAAAGGGAATAGAGTTCTTAAAATCTTGACTAAATTCTTGGTAGCCTTTATCCTTTTCAAATTAGGTGTAAGCCATCTGTAAAAGGAAGTCTTTAGTGCTAGTTTTATATGCGTAGAGTATTTTATTTTGAATTGTTATAACTGAATTATTACTGGAATCCCACAGTACTTCGGACCAATTACAGAGCTAAAAGCAGCCATAAGAGACTCAAATCTAGATCAGTGGATTTCAGCCAGGGTGATGTGGTTCCCAGGGACATTTGCCAATGTCTGGGGACATTTGGATTTTCATAACTGGGAGGGCACTATTGGCCTCTAGTGGGTAGAGGCCAGGGATGCTCTAGACATCCTACAGTGCCCCAACAAAGAATTTCTTGGTCCAGAATACCAGTAGTGCCAAGATTGAAAATCCTGAGCTAGATGATCATTTAGGAACATCCAATATTGATCTGACCTTTTCTCAGCAAACTGAATTATTTAAAGAACGGACTTCAAGTTAAAAAATACAAATGAGCAAAAAAATTAAAAATGTAACTATCACCCCTTAATCCCACCACCTCAGTAATGCCACTGTAAACATCTGGTATGTTTCCTTTAAGGCATTTTTTTGTGTGTTTATTCACCAAATTTTTATTGCAGTCCTCCTTGGACCACTATACCAAAAACTGGGAATGTATCAGTGAACCAGGAAAACTCCTGTCTTGATGTAGCTCACCTACAAACAAATACTTGGCTTTTTTTCTGTATTTAATAGGATCATATATGTGTACTTAACCTGATCTCACTTTTGCATTGAGCTTTTAATGTTTCTCAAGTTCAAAATAAAGCCAAAGCATTTTTTACCAACCCTGTTTCTCTCTTTCCCCCACAGAGATTACCTAAGCAAATTGAAGAGCGTAATGAAAGGCTGAAGGAAGAGATGTTAGGTACGTTTGCTTCCCTTACTTTCTCTTAACCATAAATAGTTAGAAAGTTGGTGATAGGAGACAACACTGTTTTTGTTCAGTAGGGGAGAACACAACAGCAACTGATTCAGCGTCCTTCATTTTGTGGGCAGCAGTACCATGGGGTAGTGAGTTCTTAGCCGTTTTTGACTCCTTACGGAGTAGTGTGGTTTAAAGAGGATATCAGCTTTTCAAAAGCCAAACTTCCATTTTGTTTTCCTTGGAAAATTTCCCACTTTCAAGAATGCAAACATAATTCAGCTCCCAACGTGGAATACTACCAAGCTCTATTTCATAAAAACTGTTGAGTTTCTTTACTGAGTGAACAGCTTAAGGTTTTAAGTTCATTAGGATGCAATCACTACAAGCCAGTATACCATGTCAGAACCAAGGGAATTTTTGTTTTGAAAGTACCATTGAGAGTCCCTTTAGTATTTGAGAGAGGATAAGAATTAGGAGTAAATAGTAAGGGGGAAAAGGACCCTGCGTGGAGGACAGGGCAAGTGGGTTCATTTGATCCATGTTTTTGTTCCATGCAAATAATGGGAAAAAAAGCAGGAGTAGCAGTACTTAGACAAAATAGGTTTCAAAACAAATAAGAGACAGAGAAGGACATTTCATAACAATGAAGGGATCAGTCCTACAAGAGGATATAATCATTATAAATATCTACACACCCAACATAGGTGCACCTAAATATGTAAAACAAATACTAACAGCATTAAAAGGGGAAATAGATTACAACACACTCATTGTAGAAGTCTTTAACACACCACTCACATAAATAGATCAATTAGACAGAAAATAAATAACGAAACAAAGGCACTTAACAATACATTAGATCAAATGGACTTACCAGACATCTACAGAACATGCAAAAGCAGCAGGATACACATTTTTCTCAAATGTACATGGAACATTCTCCAGAATAGATCACATACTAGGCTACAAAAAGAGCCTCAATTAATTGAAAAAGATTGAAATTGTATCAAGCAACTTCTCAGACCACAATGGTATAAAACTAGAAACATGTGGAGGCTAAAAAACACACCTCAAAATAATCAATGGATCAGTGGCCAAATTCAAATAAAATAAAGCAATACATGGAAAGAAATGAAAACAAAAGTACAACAGTCCAGTATTTGTGGGACACCACAAAGGCCATTCTAAAAGGGAAGTACATAGCAATACAGGCTTACCTCAAGCAACAAGAACAATCTCAAATAAACAGCCTAAACTCACAATTAAAAAACCTAGAAAAAGAAGAACAAATGAAACACAAGGTTAATAGGACAGGCATAATAAAGATCAGAGCAGAAATAAATAATACAGAGAAAAATAAAACAGTAGGAAAAATTAGTGAAACCAAGAGCTGATTCTTTGAGAAAATAAACAAAATAGATACACCCCTAGCCAGACTTATCAAGAAAAAAAGGGCACACAAATAAACAAAATCAGAAATGAAGAAGGAATAGTTAGAACAGATACCACAGAAATACAAAGAATTAATGGAGAATACTGTGAAAAATTGTTTGCCAGTAAACCAGACAACCTAGAAGATGGACAAATTCCTAGAAAAATACAACTTTCCAAGACTGACCCAGGAAGAAACAGAGAATCTAAACAGACAAGTCACCAGCAGTGAAATTGAATGGGTAATCAATAAACTCCCAAAAAGGAAAATTCCAGGACCAGATGGCTTCACAGCTGACTTCTACCAAACATTTAAAGAAAAGCTAATACCCATCCTTCTTAAAAGTATTCCAAAAAATAGAAGAGGAGGGAATACTTCCAAACTCATTCTATGAGGCATCACTCTAATAACAAAACCAGGCAAAGACACTACAAAAAAGGAAAATAGACCAGTATCCCTGATGAACATAGATGCAAAATCCTCAACAAAATATTAGCAAACTGAATTCAAAAATATATCAAAAGGATCATCCATCCACGACCAAGTGGGATTTATTCCAAGGATGCAAGGGTGGTATAATACTCATAAATCAGTATTATACATCATGTTAACAAAAAGGAGGATAAAAACCACATGATCATCTAAATAGATGTTGAAAAAGCATTTGACAAAATTCAACATCCATTCATGATAAAAATTCTCAACAAAATGGGCATAGAGAGTACATACCTTAACTTAATAAAGGCCATATATGACAAAACCACAGTTAACATCATACTTAATGGTGAAAAGCTGAAAGCTTTTCCTCTAAGAACAGGAAGCAAGACCAGGATGCCCTCACTTTTATTCAACATAGTGCTGGAGGTCTAGCCATAGCAATCAGACAACACAAAGAGATAAAAGACATCCATATTGGTAAGAAAGAAGCTAAACTGCCACTATTTGCAGATGACATGACATTATACAAGAAAATCCTAAAGACTCCACCAAAAAACATTTAGAATAACCAGATTCATCAAAGTTGCAGGATACAAAGTTAATACACAGAAATCTGTTGCATTCCTATATATTAACAATGAACTAGTAGAAACAAACCAGGAAAACATTTCCTACAACTGCATCAAAAAGAATAAAATATGTAGGAATAAACCTAACCAAAGAAGTGAAAACCCTATACTTTGAAAACTGTAAGACACTCATGAGAGAAATTAAAGAAGAAAGACACTCATGAGAGAAATTAAAGAAGACAAATAAATGGAAATCAATCCTGTGCTCATGGATAGGAAGAATTAATATCATCAAAATGGCCATCTTTCCCAAAGCCATTTACAGATTCAGTGCACTAGAACAAATTGTTCTAAAATTCATATGGAACCACAAAAGACCCCAAATAGCCAAAGCAATCCTGAAAAAGAAGAACAAAGCTGGGGGGATTATGCTCTCTGACTTCAAGCTATACTACAAAGTCACAGTAATCAAAACATTATGGTACTAGCACAAGAACAGACTCATAAATCAGCAGAACAGACTAGAGAGCCCAGATATAAACCCACACATATAGGGTTGCTTAATATACAATAAAGGAGCCATGAATATACAATGGGGAATATGCAATAACTGGTGTTGGGAAAACTGGACAGCTACATACAAGAGAATGAAACTGGATTACTCTTTAATGCCATACACAAAAGTAAACTTGAAATGGGTCAAAGACCTGAATGTAAGACATGAAACAATAAAACTCTTAGTAGAAAACAGCAAAAATATCTTGAACATAAATATGGGCAATTTTTCCTGGACAGCTCTCCTTGGGCAAAGGAAACAAAATAAAAAATGAAGTGAGACTATGTCAAACTAGAAAAGATTGTGTATAGCAAAGGACACCATCAGCAGAACAAAAAGGCAACCTACAGTATGGGAGAATATATTCATAAATAATTCATCCAATAAGGGGTTAACATCCAAAATATATAAAGAGCTCATATAACCTCAACAGCAAAAAAATAAATAACCTGATTTAAAAAACAGGTGGAGATTCTGAACAGACACTTCTCCAAAGAAGAGATACCGATGGCCAGCAGGCACATGAAAAGATGCTCCACATCGCTAATCATCAGAGAAATGCAAATCAAAACCACAGTGAGATATCACCTCACACTAGGTAGAATGGCCACTGTCCAAAAGACAAGAAATAACAAGTGTTGGCAAGGATGTGGAGAAATGGGAACCCTCCTACACTGTTGGTGGGAATGTCAGTTGGTGCAGCCACTGGGGAAAGAAGTATGGAGTAAAATAGAAATACCATTCAACCCAGTAATTCCACGTCTAGGAATTTACCTGAAGAAAACAAAATCCCTCATCTGAAAAGACACATGCACCGCTTTGTGTATTGCTGCACTATTTACAATAGCCAAGATAGGGAAGCAACCTAAGTGCCCATCAAAAGATGAATGGATAAAGAAGATGTGGTACATATACACAGTGGAATATTATTCAGCTGTAAAAAGAAAAGAAATCCTGCATTTGCAACAACATGGATGGAGCCTAGAGGGTATTATGCTCAGTGAAATAAGCCAGGCAGAGAAATGTGATTTTCTTCACATATGATTTCACTTATTTGTGAAATATAAGTACAAAGCCCATTGCCCCATAAAGCCCTATAAATCTCTTAAATGTTCTGGCAACTCCAATTGTCCACATGCAAACTCCACGCCTCTCTTGTATGTAGAATCAGCATAAAAACCCTTGGCTACCCCTCGTATCTCAATTTTGGCTTCAGGACATGAACTCACCTAGTGGTTAATAAGCAATGCCTGAAGGTTTGGGAGAGGAGACTGGACTGTTGAGGTCAATGGTGGTACAGAAATGAACAAGGTTTCCCATTTCCCGGGAGATGATGAGTTTGGTGTAGAAGCTAAGGCTTTACTTAGAAAAGCAAGAAGCCCTTGGATTTGAATCCAGGTTCAGTAGAAGTCTGCCGACTCAGCAAGTGGCTGCTGCTATTCCATGGAGAACAGACTCGGAGGGCCCTCTGCCTCCCCAGGCCGCCAGGGTTGGCGGGATGCCTCAGACGGCCCCCAGCAGCTGATTTGGCCATCACTCAGCTCAAAGCCTGTGTCCTTCGGCGCCTCTGGCCAGTTTGAACAGGAAGCTTTGCTCTCCCAGAAGGAGCCAGCAGGGCTCCCTCATGCTCATCTGCGCAAGCGCGGGCTCAGGTGGGTGACCCTGTGGTGACTGCGCTGCTGAGGGGGAAATGGGGCTAAAAGTGTCATCATTTTAAAAGCAGTAGTTTCTTCAATTGTAGAGAAGGATTCTATATTTTCTAATCAGATAGTAAAGCAAGACCAATTGGGGTCTTCCTGCTTCTCTTAATGCCCCATATTTATTTGGTTTTTGCTTTTACTTTGCAGGTAAGCTAAAAGATCTTGGGAACTTGGTTCTCCGACCTTTTGGACTCTCCACGGACAATTTCCAGATCAAACAGGATTCCTCTACTGGCTCCTACTCGATCAATTTTGTTCAAAATCAAAACAATAACAGATAACAAACATAATGAGAGGTTTTAAAGCTGGCTTGGAAATTGTGTGCTACTGCTGTTAGCAAGGGGAAAGGCCATGCCAGCGTTTAACTGATAAAAGCATCTTATCTCAGACAGGCTATCCAATCGAGCCCAGTGTGCACATCTCCCTCTTGTTTTATGATCAGGGTGAAACACACTTCCTGATGAAATAAGCCTAATTTGAGTTCCACTTTAGGGTGGTTCCGTAGAGCTGTTGCCCTGGGTCTGGCCATCCTTTGTTTTGTCCAGGAGGAAGCCTGTGCGCCCAGGCTGGCCTCCCCGAGCTACACAAACACGCAAGCCCAGCCAGAGGCGCTCCTGGACTGAGCAAACCTGCCAGTTGGAGACGACCCAGGCCTGACTGGTGGGCTTCCTGCCTGCTGTGCCCCCTCCCTGAGCACACACATGGCCCCAGCTGCCATGTGTGGGCTCCAGCGTCTCCTGACTTCCTCTGTGGTAATAAATGCTTTCTGTGACATTCTGAGCCAGGTGGTGAATTTTGTCCCCACAGTGACAGCTGAAGCAGGCTTCTCTGGCTTTGGGAGCAGTGTTACGAGACTCCACAAATCTGGTCAGAAGTCTTAGTTGCCACCTTGAAGTTCATGATCTTGAAGAGCTAACCATTCTGCCCCTTTCTAGCATTCAGAAACTCCACCTCACAAGCTGTCTTGGGCCTCTCTAGATTTATGCAGATAATTATGAAATCATTGTTTTGACCAAGCATAATTCCTGATAATTTCAACTTAAAAATAGCTTCATTCAGGGAGAGTGGTATGTGAATCCCCAAACAGAACCATATTCTTTGAGGCTACATGAACCCGGAAGTATCAGAGGTAGGTTTGGTTTTGTGTCCTCACAAACAGTCGATCCTGGTAAAAAACTCAATTGTTCTGATGTGTCAAAGGCAGTGACATGCAAGTTCCATCTTAGGAATGAAGTACATGTGTGAGTCCATAAGTGACATGTAGTAGTCGCACTCCCAGTGTTCAGAATCGAGCTGGGTCTTTGATCTGTTCCTCAGCCCCTTGGAGTGTGTTGGTACGTATGGACTGATGAGCAGTAGTAACTCCTGGTGATCTGCTAGGCCTGTCTCCCAGGTTTAAGTGAAACTCTTCATAACTTACATGGGGAAAGGGAGGGGGAGAATGAATGGTTAATTTTTCTTTGCTATCTCTGTGAGTCTGGCCTTTGATTTCCCCAAGAAGGTGTGTGCACCAGGGGGCGGGTGTGTGTGTGTGTGTGTGTGTGTGTGTGTGAGAAATGGCACAACTTGTGCAGAAACCTTGGCCAAGAGCCACGTGTCCAGCCTGCAGTGCCCCGTGCTTCCCAGCAGCAGCACTCGGGCCCTCTGCACTCACACAGGAGCAAGCGCTGTGGGTTGTGGGGGGTCACACCTACTGGGAGTCACCGTAATAGGAATCAGAACTGAAGTTTCCTCAGTATTTAGTTAATTCCTTTAAGGATAGCAAATATATTTCATGTTATACTGTAAGTAATAATATATTAGAAAAATACCATCCAAAAGAAAACCATTTTAGTAAGAAGAGTGACATCATTTTACATTTTTGCAAATCTCTTTAATGTAGTCTGGAAAATTATGTGTACTTGTGACAGAATGACAGTGAAAAGAGCAAATAACTGAACTCTTCCTTAGTATGAAGAGTTTTTGACCCCATGAACACCTAAAAGAGTCTCAGGAACCCCTGGGGAATCTCAGACTGCAATTTGAGAACCACTTTGTCAGATTATGAATTTCGAGCTCAACAGCTGAGACTTAAGCCAAGGTCAGGGCTTAGATTCCTGAAGGACAAGGAATTCCTTGAGCCTCCAAGGAATAGGAAATAGGCTCGTTTGCCTAGAAACAGCCTTCCTTTGGACGCTTCTGTTGCTGCAGGGTGTAAAGGCTCTGCTGCTTAGGCCTCCCCATCCTCCTCTCCCTTTCACCACAATTGCCACAATTCCCTCCTCCCCCAGCACCGCACTGAAACCTTAGAGGACACCAAACAAGCTGACATGAAATGCTGTTCTAGTGTGGGGGCCAAACAGTGCGTCTGGAAAGGGAATCTAAGTAGGTGTGCATTTTCTTAAAGGGATTATCTACCACTGGGGTATGTCTATGGACAAAATCTGGAAGAAAAGACAGATTCAAACCTTTTGAAAATGTTTGACAATAGAAAAACCCTCAAACAGTTGGAAAAGTAGGAAGTGTGTGAGTTAAGGAAGGTGGCTTGTGTTTGCCTACTGTTGCTAAGATACATGATTTAAAGTTCTGTGAAGCCTTCCTCCCCAACCAAAAAAGTATACCAGAATTTACTTTCAAGGTAATCAGACTGTGACATTTTATTTAGTCTTACTCCAGAATTATTGCAATGATAAAAATAATTTTGGATCTCTTAGAATTTCCTTGAACTCTAAAACATACTGTATTTACACACTATGCTCTGCTATTCCCTGTCTGCCTCCATGAGTAGACCATGAGCTTCTAGGAGTTACAGGGCCATATTTATATTAATAGTACTAGCTCCTGCTCTACTAGAAACTTAGTAAACTGGTATTAAAGGGCATTCTACAAGAAGTGGTCTTAATGTGAACAACCCTCACTCTCCAGGAGTCCTCAGATTCTGTGCCCTTTAATTAGTGACTTTTTAAAAATGTGTCCTCTGCTTCTACCCATTACCTGTCATCTCAAGGTAAGTATAAGTTAGTTGTCCTCAGTATTTTAAGACCCTGCAAGTGTTCCAAATGTCAGCTTAGGAGGTTTATGTGCTGTTTTCACCTAGACAATGTGATGGGAGGCAGTGAAAAGACAACAGATTGGTTTCACCTCATCGGGGCCAGTGGATTGTGACTTCCCTGTGTGTCGCCCAGAATGGCCACAGCATCCTGCCATTTCTGGTCCCTGTTAACTTCCTGCAACAGTGTTGTTCCCGGATAGGTGGGCAGTTCTGGCCAGTTTGGAGGGCTCAGCTAGGATTCCACAACAGTGACGCAGACAGACATTGTAAAGAGTCACTTTAAGCCAGTCGAGCCCATCTTGTGCAGCCATGTAGAATGTCCTCAGATGAGCATTCAGCCTGGCCTGTAAGTGTATGTCTCCTGGTTTTTATTTATTTTTGCATCTTGGATATTTGCAAGGATTTGTCTGGAGACTTTCAAAAGTCCCCAGCTTGTCTAGTTTCAGCCTCCCCACCTCTCCCAAATATTTCCATTGAATCTTGTGTACTCTGTATATATTCCCATGCTATCGTCGGAACCACCTTTCTAGATTTCACATGAGCAGCTTTTCCATTCACTAGAGCCTCTCTGCAGGAGGCTGAGCTGGGACATTGGAGCTGTTAGAACAAACTCATACTTGTATAGTAGGCTTCCTTTGTGGAGCACACTGGATTGTTGGGTTGTTTTCCTCACAGCATGGATGTGAGCCGTGGTTAAAGTCTGTTCTTAAAATCCAACCTCTTTTCCTAAGAACCCTGACTTGCCCTGCATATCACTCCATCACCAGCACGGCAGCTGCTGCTTTTCCTTTTGCTCCATACTCCACCCCCCAGAATGTCCTATCTTACCACTGTACAAGTTACTGTGCTTATAGGTAGTGCAGATAGTATGCCATGCTGAGATGTGGAGACTGGGGAGTGGCCGAGCCTGCTAGCTAATGACCCAAACATTGCAGCGCTGGGCCTACATTTGAGCATCAGTAAAGTGACAAGGCCTCACCCACTGGACTTGCAGAGCTGCTCAGGTAACAGTCAAATGCACGAATGCTTGTTTGGCCCATAAATAAGAGTCATCATTCCTCCAACACGTATAGCTGAACTGCTTTAGGAAGTGTTGCTGGGCCTGGTGATCATTTCTGGTGCCCCTCAGGTCTCTAAGCTATTGCCGCCGAGACTATTGCTAACATTTCACTCAGCTCTAAAGCGAGAATCCAGACAGCTTTGGGAAGACCTGACAGGGACTTCCTGGAGGCATTCTACTATCTAAATAGACTACTGTGGGATGGGGAGCTGGCAGCAGGTGTTAAATGTTAATCTTCTTGGAAGATGTATTTGCAATGCTCGTCTGATTCCAAGAGCTAGGCAGACCTGCAAATCCTGTTTTTTACAACCGGTATCGCAAAACTTGGAATGTCAGAGGGGAAGGCTGTGATTGGAGACCCCAGAGGGTGGGAACAGCTGTGCAATGGCTACTTTAACCTTCTTGAGAAAGATCTTTAAAGGGCAGGGTACAGTAACCCTCCAAGACCAGAGTGCAAATCTGGGACACCACATAAAACAGGAAAAAAATCACTGGCTTAAGTCCCTTCTTCTCTGTTATCTGTGCTTTCCCTTAAGCTCGCCATTGGCTTCAAGGGACTCCTAGGGCTGCTGGAGCCCAGTCCCGCCGGGGAAGCCCGCGAGCCTGCAGCCCCAGGATGGCTGCAGCCCAGTTTTTGTTCACGTTGCCTTCTGTGACCACCCCCTTTGATCTTGCCTTTCACCTCACCCCTCCCTTATTTCTTAAGGTACTGAACTGATAACACACCCCACACCCTAGTAGAACTGAGAAGCACTTTCAGTGAGAGCCCCGTGATCCTGTCAGTCCACCCACTCTGCACTTCCACAGCACAAGCCTAGTCCTTCCATCACCTGGATTTCCTTTAAAGCAGGAGGTATGTGCACATTCTGCTAGAAGTGGCTGAGGAGGCTGTTCCTTCAAGGGAACTGCAGTTAAAAGCAGTACAGAAAAAGAGAGTGATCATTTCCAATCACTTCCTTCAGTTGTGTGGAGAGCTGCCCTGAGCCCACATGACACCAGGTCCCCATTGCTCCTGAACATGAGAAATGGCTTACCTGCTGCAGCCCCATAGAGCAGCAGAAATGACTGCTGAAAGCTCTTCAAGGGGCAAAGAAACAACAATAAAATTAATTGATGAAAACTTGGGAGGATGGCCTCATTTCAAAGCATCAAAAATTTCATTCCTGGCTAAGAGCTGTAGAAGCTAGGAATGAGGATGTAGCCTTTGGTGGACTCTCTCTGATGCTTGGTCTCAAGTACATAAGACTGTTTTGCAGGGACACTTTGATAGCCCTGAGATAGAAATGCCTTTGAAAGTGCTTCACGAAGTCACTGGGAGAAAAGGAAAGTCTGTTTCCCAGGGCAGCATGACACTTGGATAGGATTCGGCCATGGGCAGACTTGGCAAAGGCCTGGGATTCCACCTCCAGCTTGTGCTACAAAAGCTTTTCCAGCTGCTTCATTTTCGACAGGCCTTAAATCAGCCGCATTTAAACATGTGAAGCACCACACCATCACTGTCTTCAAGATTGCTTTGTGTCATAACAAAGGCCACATGTCAGGCTCCCTTACCTGAAGGCACTTTACACTGTTGTGTAGATCATCTTTAGATCACAGGTGTCAGCAGCTACTCAAGATCCACAGGAGTTAGGCACCAAGACTTAGATAGGATTCAGAAATGTAACATGTTAGAGAATTTCACTCAAGGACAAATACTCCCTGATGTTTTCTGCGGTTTTGGCCTTGGCCAGGCAGAATGTGAAGTG